TGATTTTTGGATGTTGATCTTATATCCTGCGACTTTGCTAAATCCCTCAATTAGTTCCAGTAGTTTTTTGATTGAATCTCTTGGGTTTTCTAGGTCCAATAGCAGTATCTTTTAAAGAAAGAAGGGTTTGGAAAATTAACTCCTTGAATACTGCTGAGATTTGTATGCTATTCCAGTCTGCAAAAAATCTAGAAATCCAGAACATTCTAATGGGAAAAGGAGGGTTCCATACTCACTTGATTGTGTTAGAAACTGTGAAAGAAATTTGTGTCCTCATGATCCAGGTTGGGAAAATGTCTAGGTGGGGCTGGCCCCTTAAGATTCACAGGCTGAAGTAATCTGGTAGCTAAGGCATCACAATGACAACTTTCTTGGGTAATTCTCCCTGGAAATGCATTCTTCCCTCCAGGACCAGAAGCCCTGGGGAGCAGAGCTGATCTCCTTTTGGGAGGTGAGAGATGTAGATAGGTTCATGCATCTCTGTGTTTACTTACCCAAATCTGGATGCTCTTGTCCTACACAGGACATCAGTGATGTTTGAGTTGGAGTTGTTTTCTATCCTGTAGAGAACCTTAGAGTTTAATGAAAGGGAAGAACTTTTTTGAAATGTTGTCTAATTGGTTAACCTATCTCTAAAATTTGGGAGGGAATGTTGGGGAGAAAGTCCCGGCGCAGAAGCACCTGTGAAACCCATTGCTGACGGGAATTCATCTGGTCAAAACACCACCTGCTGCCTGTGTGGAGGAGCATTACTTTGGATTTCTGTTCAGGTTTTACAGGAACTATTGCATCCCTGAAGGAGCTCTGATAGCATAGTGCGTAAGGCATCTGCTAACCAGAAGGTTGGTGGTTCAAACCCACCAGCCACTCCATGGAAGCAAGACTGGGTGAGCTACTCCCATAAAGATATACCGCTTCGGAAACCCAGTGGGGGTCACTGTGAGTCAGAATTGACTCAGTGGCAGTGAGTTTGGTTTGGTTTACTGTATCCCAGGGTTCATGGGCAGTAATTAGAAATCCTCCAGGACCCACGCTCATGTAGAGAAGTGGATTAGATCTCCAGACTCAGAATTCGGGAGGAGAGAGGTGCTGATGCCCACCGTCATGAGTGCTTTTGACCTGGGTGTACACACATCAACACACATTCATCTTGCTGCATAGACGCTCTCTTTTCCCAGGACAGGGAGCCAAATTGGATCTGTCTCTGCAGGAGATGGTTGCTTGGAAATGGACATGCTAGAGGACCTTGAGAGCTTGCAGTTTGAGTATGGCATTCCAGAAGAAGATCGTACCTGGCTGTTTTTGCAGGGCCGTTCTCGGGGACTGATGATCGAAGCCTGTGCCCATGCAACCTTCTTCTGCAAGCTAGTCTTTATTTTGAGGTAACTTAGGTCTCTAAGGTCAGGCAGCTGGAGAAGAGTCTGATTTCAGAGAATCCAAGTAACTTAATCTTTTTATTTTGAAGGATAACTTTGTTAAGGTGAATGTCTTCCTACCTCTTCTAATCACAATCACTGAAAGAACCAGGGAACTCCATACCTGAGTCCTTGGCTGTGGTAACATAAAAAAGCATGGATTAGTGGTGATTTCCTTGCAGTGAGTGGGTGGATTGATTAAATGATCAATCCATTCATTCACCCACTCATTGGAACCACCAGCTTGTCTTCCACAGCTGCTAATAATTAGCCAGTCTTCAGACAATGGTCTTATGTGAATGGTCAGAATTCCCAGGTGTATAGTAGAGCTGACAAGGGGCAAGGTTGTGGTCACTGCTTGGTCACAGCCAGCTACCCAGAGGGACTGAGTAGT